GGGGGGGGGGGGGGGGGGGTGGTGTTACCAGCTCTACTCGCTAAACAAAATCACCTTCACTGAGAATCCTGTCCCTCCTTGACCTTATTTTCCCCCTCGACCTCCTCTACACCAGCCTGAGTCATGAGGTCAGCGATGTTCTTCTCCAGATCATCAATGCGGGTGCTCATTTCATCAAGTAAAAGCTGTATTAAGGAAACTGTTGGATATACCCACAATGGAATCTGCATTTCATGTCACTGTAATAATAATTATATTATGCGCTTTGCCTCTAATAACATGTACTAGTCATGTGGTATCTACTTCTCCATTGACATCACTTACTGCAGTCACTACAGTTCAAAATATTTCCAAAACATAACCCACAGTACCCAATGTACGAAATTGCTTTAACTCTCCTTATATGAAATGGAAGGATATTCCTGCCAATGATCTGGTCAGACATAGTTTGGAATTTATCTTGCATTTGCTGCAGCAGTGTCTGAACCTGAAACACAGAGAAGATATTATGGAACCTGACAATGCAGATCCCTGAGCCAGAACACAAGTGCGGCAAAAGTACTGACGGGTACGGGGGCGGAGGGTGAACATCGGCGTGAGAGACTCACGATGCGGAAACCATGGAAACGACTAAGTCAGCTGACACCCACACACTAACTATCTAATCAACATTAATTAACCATGTTAGAAGAGAAATCGCTTTAATACACATTAAACATTACTGCTTGTGTTATTTCAGATACACTCACTTCCGTAACAAAAATCCAAATAGCTAAGCTAACACGCAAATCCAGCGAGGGTTCGCTCGGTACAGTGGTCAGCTGCTCATCCAGTTAAATAACGCAGGTAAATTGCGCAAACGGAAATGAAGGAACCAGGAGCTGTACATTAGTACCTCGATGTGGAGACGGTCTTAGGGCCGTACTCACCGTTTGAACAGGACAAACTAGCGAAGCAACTAGCAGCAGGCCTTCCGACCCCGTGCAGTCAGATGGAACCAAACTAGCGCACACTTACCACCGCGGTCAGGTCCTGCACAGACTTCGGGTCCGTTTCAGACATTTCTCACACCGACTCCGAGCACTATTCACCGCCAGCAAAATGATGAATATCCAAAGATGAATCCCGCTACCCCCACACTTCTACCTCGGTTACAGGAAGCGCAGCCGCAAATGCAGTCCATTGGGTCGCTAGAACACCGGAAATAGAGCCACCACAAGACAATATGGAACTTGTAGTTCGAATATTTGTGATTTTGTAGTTTTATGATACCCTTGTGCGCGGGCCTATGTAAGCGCATTAACAAAATACCGAGATAAAATACCTATTTGTTTTTTTCCATATAAATGTATCTTTAAATAGTATGATTGTGAGTGTCAGCATTTCTGTACCATACCAAGGTGTATTCCAGCCCTGTACCCTATGCTATTACCACAGTCCAAACCTTGCTCTTCTACAGCAGGCTCAATATCTTGGGGTGGGGGGGTTCCTACTTATTCTCGAGATTTTGGTTCCTCCACTCTGTTGTCTTCTGGAATTCTTTCTTTCCCGTTTTCTTGTTTCATGCACAATTTTGTACAAACGATGTAATAATGGATTGTCACACATACTTGTCAAATGCTCTGAGACAACAGTGCTATGAAAGGTGCTATATAAAAAATAAATTGACTTCAATTGGCTCCAGCCTCTCCCA